CAGGAATCAAAGAAACAAAGGAAGTCGGGTTCAAGGAAACGCTGAGAGACTGAGACGGCCCTAACTTACATGGCCTTGAAGAGAAAGAAAATTCTTTCGCACACGTGTAATAATATTGGATAGGACGAATATTTCTATTATTGAATTTGTTTTGTTTATCTAAGAGTCATCTAAATTTATCATCCAGTCGAACCCGCTCCTTATTATAAAAATAATGTAATAATCTGCTTTGCTCATCGAAAAACCCATTACAATAACTCACCGGGAGATCGATCGAGATGTAACAAACGAGTTCATAAATATCTAATCTAACTCTGTGCCTTTGTCTATGGGCGTCATGAATTTCATTTCTTAAAATGTCTTTAATAGTACGTCTTATAAAAAATTTGTGTTTCGATACAGACTTAAAATGACATAAATTATTAGCATAACGAGAAAGAAATCTAAGATGAGACGGTGTAACATCCTGATTTAAACAATCTTTTAGAAATTTGATTCGCAAGTTTAATCTAATCAGGCTCTTGTTTAATTTAATCCAATCCTTCAAATGTTTGACCACGCTCCAATTAAAACTGTGTCCAACAAATTGGAAGAAATTCTTCAACGGACGCATTATTACAGCCAGCGTGAATTCAAAATAAAAACTTTTGTACTCGGCTCGAATTATTGTGTTACAATAAAAATGAACTATCGACGGCAATCGGAGTCTGTGCGGATGTCATGCACAAAAATTAATAAATAGAAATGAGATCTCACATAAAGCTCATTTATTTAATGATTAATAAAAGCATAAAAATTTTTTGGATTTAAACATTAAGATTATTGATAACATCATACACTTGGACTGGTTTCAAAAAAGACTTTGTTGGAAATTGAGAAGAAAATTTAATATAATTATCTAAGTTTGTATTTTTCTGTCTAAAAATCGATATTTTCTTCCGATGAATATGCGAAAAAACCGCGGAAAAAAGGCTCGCCCGATATAAACAAGTAGGCGATAAATCAGGATTATTTTAACAAGCTGTCAATAACAACAACATTGCTTAACCGAAAGCAACGATCACTGCATTGATTATCGATGTAACAGACATGCGCCGTTCGATCACGTGGCTTCCGAAAGCCAATCGATCTCGCTATCGAGCATTTCGCGCATGTCAGGTGCGTGCTTGTTTTGCGTAAATTACGGGGCCGCCAATAAAGACAGGCGCCCTCGCGTCACCTTCGAACATTTTTAAATAACCGAAATTAATTGGTGAAGTAAAAATTAGTGGGGCTTCAGTACCGCACCGATAAAAGAAGCGCCCACCAAAATTGCGCGGCTAGTCTCTCGAGTCTCAGTACGTACAACCGCTATTAAACCGCTTAGAAATTACCGCAATTATTACCGCACACTCACTTGGAAATCGATCTCGGCTTATTTATTGGAACTTTTGTAAAATTACTGTATCGTTTAAATTGTGAAAGTAAACTCTGTGTTAATTATTAAAGGGTGATTAATTTCTTTCGGCCTTCAAATACGCGCTCTCCTTCACGCGTTCGCGCAAACATATTTTTGGTCCTTCGAGCCGGATTTATCAGGTCGTCGCGCCGGCACGCGTGTAAACGGTCTTGAAGACGAGAGTGAAGTGTCTGAAAAAGAAATACAGTGAGTGTCACATCATGGATGCCGCTATATTATTAGATAGTCAGCGTGAGATCCAAGTTCGAATCTCACGCTCGGTCAAATACCTGAAGAAGATAGGCGCTCCTAACATCACATCCAGTGCCGTCACTACCCGCATCAGACTTCTTGATCAAGCCTGGGATAAGTTCGTCATCCAGCACGATCAGCTGCGCATTGCCTTGAAAGATAAGTTCAGAGAAAGTGATTACGTTACTTCAGGACTCCATGATTTGACTGAAAATACGTACGTACAGCAAAGGAGCATCCTGGACGGCTACGCTGAACGCATTGGGTCAGCCTCGGAGACCGTCAAGCTAAACGAAGCCGCTCCTCGAACCGCATTACCTCGGGTCAGGATTCCGCAGTTTTCGGGAGCTTACTCCGAGTGGCCAACCTTCCGAGATCTCTTCCTGTCTGTCGTCGGTGATAACGCCACCATCTCTAACATCGAACGCATGCATCATCTTCGGTCGAGTTTGAACGGACAGGCTAAAAATTGATAAGTTCATTACCGGTGACAGGAGACAACTACGAACGTGCATGGACGATACTGTGCAAACACTACGAAAACGAGAGAGAACTCATCCAATGCAACTTCGCCGCATTCACCGCCGTGCCGAGAATGAAGAACGGAACCGCTGACGAACTGCATCGCACCCACAACGCTGCCGTCACAGTCGTCAACGCACAGGAGAGTATAGGTCGTCCCATTGAATCTCACGGAATGGACCTCCTAAACTATCTTATCGTCGAACAATTCGACGCACACACTCGAATGGAATGGGAAAATTCCATATCCGACTCCAACAAGTCACCACCGCACGAAACACTTTTGGAGTTCATGACGCGACGGATGTTCACACTTAAGGCCGTGCATCCGAAGACTCTCAAGAAGAACTTCGGAGAGTCTTCACAAACGGCGAAGACACATGTTGCGAAGCACGGAACTGACCTTCCACAATGCACACTGTGCCATGAAAAGCACCATCTGATGACGTGTCGCGAATTTAAGACAAAATCCGCTGCAGATCGAAAGGCCTTCGTTGAGACGCACAGACTGTGTTTCAACTGCCTCGGAAATCATTATCTTACAAAATGTCAGTCGAAGAAGAACTGCTACACATGCAAGGCACGTCATCACACTTCACTGCACGACGCATACAACACGGTCACCGCACATACACCAGAAGCTACTTCACTCGCCGCACTGCACAAAGCCAAGGAGCAGAAGGCTGTACTCCTCGCCACTGCTCGGGTAAACGTAGCCGATCGCCATGGAGCACCGCACGACGTCCGAGCATTGATCGATCAGGGATCAGAGGTGTCGATCGTTTCTGAAGCACTGGTACGACTGAACCTGCCTCGATCACGCACCGACATGGCCATCTTTAGGATCGGAGGCGCACGACCAGGATCAACGCGTGGCAAGGTCACGCTGCACCTCACTTCGGACATCACAAACGCCCGGCTCTCCGTGATAGCGTTTATACTGCCACGCCTATCACTTCTCCAAGGTTTCACGTCCAGCACACCAGAAGATTGGCCGCATATTCGAGGACTCCAACTGGCGGATCCTCAATTTCGCGAGAACGATCCAGCCGAGCTACTCCTGGGAGCGGAGGTGTGCTCCTTAATTCTTGAAGAGGGTCTACGCAAGGGTGGACCTCAGATGCCAATCGCGCAGAAGACATCACTAGGATGGATACTCTCTGGAGGCTCCGACGTCGCATCCGCAGAAGAGCACCGTCGCACATTCCAGTGCACTGCCGATCACGAGCTACTCGAGCTGGTGCAGTAGTTTTGGGAACAGGAACGGGAGCCCAACGCAGTCACGACACTCTCCGCTGAAGAGTAGCAATGCGAGGAATTCTTCGTGCACACGCACACTCGCACCTCTTCAGGACGATACGTGGTGAAGCTGCCGTTTCCTCACCAATCACTGCACTCCGCGAAACCCGCAAACCAGCTGAGCGGCTTCTCACAACGATGGAGAGGCGATGCGTCCAGGACCCTCGATTCGGCAATCTGTATCGCAACTTCATGACAGAATACGAAGACCTGAAACATATGACGCTGGTGACATGCTCCACAACTAGCAATCAGTCAACGTACTTACCACATCATGGAGTACTCAAGGAGTCCAGCGCCACGACGAAGCTGAGGGTCGTGTTCAATGGGTCGCAGCGAACGCGAACAGGAGACTCTTTAAACGCACATCTCATGACTGGAGCAAATCTTCTGCCAGCTCTTCCTGACGTACTACTCCGATGGCGTCAACACCAGTATGTCTTAGTTGCTGATATAGAGAAAATGTATCGGCAGATACTCGTGCATCCGGATGACTGCAAATTCCAAACGATCCTGTGGCGTCATTCAACTGATGATGAAGTGCGAGAGTACCAGCTGAGAACGGTCACCTACGGTCTGGCGTGTGCTCCGTTTCTCGCCATACGGACACTCCGTCAGCTCGCAACAGACGAAGAAGAGCAGTTTCCTCGTGGCGCCGTGGCTCTGCGTCGAGATTGTTACGTCGACGATGTGGTCACCGGCTCAAATACGCTGAACGATGCGATCGCACTCCAGATGGAAATTCGCAACCTCTGCTTGGCGGGCGGATTCCCGTTGAAGAAGTGGGCAGCCAATGACGAGAGGATCCTGACTGGAGTACCAAGCGATCATCGTTTGCAGCAACTGCCACCAGCCTGGGAAGGAGAGAGCCATTCCACGCTAGGACTCCGCTGGCACCCGCAACACGACCAGTTCTCCTTCGTATTTCATCCGCACGCTGCCATCAACCACACGAAGAGAACGGTTTTGTCCGAAACCGCACGGCTCTTCGATCCAATGGGGTGGCTCGCTCCAGTCGTGATTCGAGCAAAAATTCTCATTCAATCCACGTGGCTGCAAGGATTGGGCTGGGACACCCCGCTGCCGCCATCCGACGCTCGAGAGTGGCAACGTCTTCTAGAAGAACTCCATTTTCTAGATCAGGTGCGAATTGAGGATTCCCACTGCGTTAAAAAAAAAACTGCATCAAGGGGTATTAATCCAAGCGAACTAATCAATCACGCTCTATGGTGGACAGGACCTACCTGGTTATCACAGCACGAATCGGCCTGGCCAAATTCCGAGATAGAGATCCGAGGAGACGACGTGCCAGAAAAGGAAAGCCACGAGTCTGATGACTGTCAACCGGGTCATCGTCGAGCCAGAAATCCTGCTCCGCTTCTCATCTCTGCATCGTTTGCTACGGATATCCGCATAGTGCCGTCGCTGGCTGCGCGCTTCTGAGCCGCCTCACACCGCTGGATTAACGTTGAGTCCGGAGGAACTTGACATGGCACTTTTTCGCTGGCTTCGAGAAGTGCAGACACTGCACTTCACGGACGAGATCACCGCAGTCGCAGCTGGACGCTCCGTCGCACCAAGCAGCACATTAGCCAAGCTGACTCCGTTCCTCGACGACCATGGTGTTCTGAGAGTGGGAGGTCGGCTTAAGAACGCCCTGCTGGCACAAGATGAGAGGCACCCGATGATCATTCCAACCTCGTCGTGGCTGACTCGTCTGCTGGTGGAATCCTGTCACTGTCGGACGCTGCATGGCGGAGTGCAACTTACCCTGGGGCTGTTTCGACTGCGCTTCTGGATTCCACGAGGACGCACAGTTGTAAAACAGCAACTACATCGTTGCGTCACCTGCACAAGATGGCGAGCAACGACGCTTCAACCACCGATGGGTAATCTACCCCGCGATAGGGTCACTCCAACTCGGCCATTTCTGCGCACTGGAGTGGACTATGCAGGACCCATCCTCATCCGGACGAGCAAGGGACGAGGACACCGCGCCTATAAGGGCTATATCGCAGTATTCATCTGTTTTTGGTCCAGAGCCATCCACCTCGAACTTGTCTCGGATTACTCTTCAGAGGCCTTCATCGCCGCTTTACGTCGCTTTGTCTCACGTCAAGATCTCTGTACGGACATATACAGCGACTGTGGAACGACCTTCATCGGGGCTGACCGCACTTTACGGGAGCTCTTCGTCGCTGCATCCACAGAGGGTCGTGGAATCGCACGCGTAGCTGCTGAACATGGCATACGGTGGCACTTTAATCCACCAGCAGCTCCGCACTTCGGCGGATTGTGGGAGGCAGCCGTCAAATCCGCTAAGTATCACTTACGAAGAGTGATCGGTGAAACCACTCTCACCTTTGAGGAACTGACCACTCTCCTCACACAAATTGAGGCCTGTTTAAATTCTCGTCCATTACAGGCACTCTCTGACGATCCAAACGATATTACAGCACTGACTCCGGGCCACTTCCTGATCGGCGCGCCGCTTCTCGCCATCCCGGAGCCAATACAGGAGGACAACCGTGGATCCGCAGCATCACGATGGCATCATTTCCAGGCGATGCGAGACCACTTTTGGCGGAGATGGTCGGGAGAGTACATCCATGGACTCATCTCACGACCTAAATGACTGAAGGTCGATACGACACCTCGCATCGGAGCACTCTGCCTTGTGCGCTCCGAGATTTCGCCTCCAAACCGATGGCCTCTCGCCCGGATCACAAAACTGCATCCCGGCGACGACGGGATCGTACGCGTGGTCACCGTTCGAACCGCGACCTCCGAGCTCGTGCGTCCGCTCGTAAAAATCGTCTTACTTCCCGATTTCACAACGCACGTAACGACACCCAACGCATAGACAGAAAGGCACGACGCGTCACATCACTCACACACCTTTGCTCACTTTCATTCGCTATGCACTTGATTACACATCACATACGCACTGTAACCACTTTTCACATTCGCACACATTATTTTACATCGAAACCGCGTTTCACTATTGTCAGCTGATCGCACCACACTGTCAACACGTGTTCATCGTTTCAGCTGATCGAGCGACATTCCACGCGATAATCACGTGTATCTCGCCGCGCCGGCGCGCGCCTACCCCACTATCAATCGCGATCGAAAATTCATAGCGGCTTATTGTCAGCGGGTGACAAGGCGGGCGGGATGTTGAAATTGAGAAGAAAATTTAATATAATTATCTAAGTTTGTATTTTTCTGTCTAAAAATCGATATTTTCTTCCGATGAATATGCGAAAAAACCGCGGAAAAAAGGCTCGCCCGATATAAACAAGTAGGCGATAAATCAGGATTATTTTAACAAGCTGTCAATAACAACATTGCTTAACCGAAAGCAACGATCACTGCATTGATTATCGATGTAACAGACATGCGCCGTTCGATCACGTGGCTTCCGAAAGCCAATCGATCTCGCTATCGAGCATTTCGCGCATGTCAGGTGCGTGCTTGTTTCGCGTAAATTACGGGGCCGCCAATAGAGACAGGCGCCCTCGCGTCACCTTCGAACATTTTTAAATAACCGAAATTAATTGGTGAAGTAAAATTAGTGGGGCTTCAGTACCGCACCGATAAAAGAAGCGCCCACCAAAATTGCGCGGCTAGTCTCTCGAGTCTCAGTACGTACAACCGCTATTAAACCGCTTAGAAATTACCGCAATTATTACCGCACACTCACTTGGAAATCGATCTCGGCTTATCTATTGGAACTTTTGTAAAATTACTGTATCGTTTAAATTGTGAAAGTAAACTCTGTGTTAATTATTAAAGGGTGATTAATTTCTTTCGGCCTTCAAATACGCGCTCTCCTTCACGCGTTCGCGCAAACAACTTGTTCAGGTAGAGTACTATCTTTCTTATCGAATTACCTCATGTGCCACAAAATAGGAGTGATTTATAATCTCATTGATAGAGCATTGTTATTATCTTATCCCATATATCACAAGAAAAATTTAGAACTTTGTATTGAAATATTATTGGATAACGGTTACCCTATTCATTTAATTTTTAAAAAAATTATTAGAAGAATAAAAGTATTAAATAATTTTCAGATTAACAATAATAGAACAAAAGAAATCGCAGAGAGAAATAATAAGAAATTTTTTGTCATCCCCTATATTAATAACATCCGGGGGGCACGCCCTCCGTCTCTGGGGGCTCTCCTTCGGGGGTGGAAGATTTCCCGGTGGCATAGCACCGTTAGGAGAAGGGACTGCACGGCGCTTCGGCGCTTCCTTTCCCACCATGCTCTGTGGCCCGACACGCCTGTCGGGTAGACGGCTTCTGCCGTCCGGGGTTTTTCTCTCCCCTCCGTCCTGGGGGGGGCTCGTTTCGGGGTTACCTCTGGGGGGGTTGGGGGGTGGGCGTCGGCGGCGGGGCCGCAGTGGAGGGTGCCGTGCGCGATTACCCGAGAGGCTCTGCCCGGAGGGTTTCCCGAGGGGCTTTGCCCGGAGGGGGTCGCGCCGGCGGAGGGGTCAACATGGTCACCCGAGGGGCTTTGCCCGGAGGGTTGTCCCAAGGGGCTTTGCCCGGAGAGGGCCATGTTGATCGGTCCTCGGGGCCCGTTCGTGGAACGGTTCCCGAGGACCTCCCTGTACCTCAGGGTGCTGATTGGGGGTCTCCAGGCTGGGTAGCCTGGGTCCCCGTCCCAACGTCCCTGGGGTAGGCCGCACCCAGGCCGCTCGGACGTCTTCGAGGCAGGGCTGACAAGGGGAGTGCACGACGTGCCCCTCACCGATTCAAACGAGGATTTTTTTATGTATAGTACCTAATTAGAAACAAGTTCTGTTAAAGCGAGAGAACGCGCTTCTCAAGCATTCGTCTGAAAAAAAATGTTGAAGATTTGCCAGCACTTCTTAAGACGTTGCAAAGAAGCATTATCGAAGCGCCCCGGTGGCTTAGTTGGTAGTGTTCTTCTTTTGTAACTGCGAGATCGCTGGATCGAATCTCGCCGTGTGAAACTATTTTTTTTCTTTTATTTTTGTATAATTTATTTTTTTTGTTTTTAGGAACATTTTATAACATTAATAAATATTTTTTTAATAATTGACATTTAAAAAATTTTTAACATTTTGTTCCATATATTAAAAAAAAATTCGATTGCTTTCTGTCAAAATATAATATTAGGAAATGTTTAATATTATACGAGAAATATATCACTACTATAAAATAAATAAGTAAATTTAAAATAATCTTTCAGCTGGAGTTTCGCAAATTCCTCGTTTAACAAAACTTTTTCATCTTTACTACTTCCTGCAAGCGATTCTTTTTGTTCAACATCGCTTTTTATCGAAGAATCAGATGTTGATTCCATCTTCGAAATTTTCACGGCACTGTCTATAACGTCTTCCTTGTACTGTCGTAACTAACGGTCGACTATTTCAAAAACCGACGCTTTGCCTGTCTTCTCCTGTACGATTCTCCCCTCTCTTACTTCAACAAAGCGGCTGATCCCTTATGGTCGAAACTCGTAGCTATTGTTGCTCCAGGTCAGATATACAAAAAGTGATCCGAGACCGAGCATAATAATAAAATATAGCTCTAACGTATAAAACTTTTAAGAAATATTTTTATTTCTAGAGCTAGAAAATTTAAAATATTTTTAATAATTGTACAATAAAAAATAATTAAAAATATTACCAAATTATCCGCATTATTATTGATAATTGTTTACTAATTTATTTTATTAGTAGTGATATATTTCTCGTATAATATTAAACATTTCCTAATATTATATTTTTGACAGAAAGCATCGAATTTTTTTTTAATATATGGAACAAAATGTTAAAAATTTTTTAAATGTCAATTATTAAAAAATATTTATTAATGTTATAAAATGTTCCTAAAAACAAAAAAAATAAATTATACAAAATAAAAAAAAAAATAGTTTCACACGGCGAGATTCGATCCAGCGATCTCGCAGTTACAAAAGAAGAACACTACCAACCAAGCCACCGGGGCGCTTCGATAATGCTTCTTTGCAACGTCTTAAGAAGTGCTGGCAAATCTTCAACATTTTTTTTCAGACGAATGCTTGAGAAGCGCGTTCTCTCGCTTTAACAGAACTTGTTTCTAATTAGGTACTATACATAAAAAAATCCTCGTTTGAATCGGTGAGGGGCACGTCGTGCACTCCCCTTGTGAGTCGGCGCAGACGGCTACGCGTGGTCACCCGAGGGACGTAGCCCGGAGGGTTTTCAAGGGGCACTGTCGGAGGGGACCACGCGGGTCGGCCGTCGAGGCCGCTCGGACATATTACGAGGCGGGGCTCGACGGCGAGAGGGAAGTCGCAGAGTGCTGGTTTGGAGAGCGTGCTCTCATCCCAGCGTCCCTGCGACTTGCCATCCTCGGGCCGCTCGGACGTTTCCGAATTCGGGCCGAGGGTGGCGGAGAAGGCGCGCCGCGGTTACCCAAGGGGCATAGCCCGGAGGGGTTACCCAAGGGGCATAGCCGGAGGGTGCCGCGGCCCCCTGTCGCCGGGGCCGCTCGGACGTTTCCGAGGCGGGGCCGGCGGCGAGAGTAGATATCTCCGGTCGGTCGGGACCGTTTCCTCTTCCGAACCGACCGACCGGAGAGGCGCCTGCCCCTTGTCGAAAGCCTTCGACGAGGGGCGCTCACATAATGCTGGTCGCCACGGCGTGTAGGGCAGGGCCGGGGAGCGGCGACTCTATCCAAAGCGTCCGTGGGGCCCCCCGGGTGGCGCCGCCCGCTGCGGTACCCACACAGTCGGAGGTGTGGGACCCCTGAAAGCCCGTGTGGGCGTCAAATCCCACACGGGTGTGTAAGGGGCTCGGAGTCTGGCCGGGGTGCGGTATCCCCCGGCCTAAGTCATATGTCCCCTCCCCGGGGGAACTTGGGGCCCGGCCTTGGGGTGTGGCCAATCATGTTTCGGGGCACCCCTTGGCCAGTGGGGGTATACCCTGGGGGACGGAGCCGCAGCGGGACAGTGGGATACAACAAAAATGAATCAAATAACCAAAACACCAACCAAAAACTAAATAAGGAGGAGGGCGGGAGCTCTGAGGTTCAAGGCCAACCTCGAGTAGGAAATGGGGTCTCCATCACTCCATATAAAAAAGAGGACACTCCTTTAGAGGAGAATACAAAGGTTGTCCTCAGGGAGGTAATGATTCCTTTAATGCGGGTCGACTCAGACACGAGTCTCTCGAGCGGACCATGGGTGACGTGCAGAAGTGATAGAAAGAGGAAGACCACCAGGAAGCCCGCATCCAAGAGGGAAACCAAGAGGTCTAGGTCGAGGAAGAGCTCGGCAACGGAGGATGGCAACACAACCGACATCCTCAGCGATTACAAAGATGCCGATACCATCAGCGACTATTACGAGGATAGTCTAGATGAGGATAGGAGGGATAACTCTGCGTTTGGAACCCTCACAAAAAATCTGGACAAGAAGTTAACGCAAGGCATGGAAGACAACATCCCACTGCAACAGCAGCTGGATGAATTGCCGGAGCAAGCTCTGCAAATGCAATACGCGCAAACACGGCACGCGGACAGCAACATTCCTGATATTCCAAGTGACCCTGAAAAGAAGAAACAAGGACGCACAGTAACAACTGGAATAGGGGCACGAAGAAAGGAAGAGAA